TGGTAGGACCCCACTGAAAGCAGGGTTAGAGCCACAAAGGACAGAAGGTGCAGCTTCAGGAGAAGGGAGCCCCCCAGTCTGGCCTGCCATTCCCCTCACCCCCCATCCTCTGCCGTCCCCAGGTCCGTCTCAGCCCCATTTGACAGCAGGTGGTGAGCATGAGGACATTAGCAGTGAGACCTGTGGGGCCCTGTAGGGCATGAGTTTCTGGTCACGTCGAGGAACTGAGGGTGTGCGGGGCAGCAGAGGGGCTGGAAGAGACGGGGTCCTGCCTTTCCACTGGCTGGTGCCAGACTGGGGGAGTCCCAGGACTCTACAACCTCAGGAACTCTGTGACCAGCAGCGCTTAGAAGCATCTCCCACCTTCTAGAACCCTAGAACTTTGTGACAGGAGAGCACTCAGAAACACTTAACGCATCCTAGAACCCAGATACTTTGTAACTATGTTTGCAAAGGAGCGTTTAAAAGCCACTCCAAAGATACATACATACGTACATACACACATAGCATGCCAGATGTATAGCATACAGAAGCTCTGGCCATGTTTGGCTGCTGAGCCCTTGCCAGACGACTGACCCAAATGCAGATGTGCTGTGAGTGTAGAAGGCACAGACTTTGGGGTGAAGGAAAGAGCTCTTCATATTAATTACACGATGATACATAATGATGATAATAATGTGGCTTAAGTATTGGGTTAAATCAAGGATACTAATGAAGGTGTAATAAAAGTGAAGTTAAATAAAGTACTTAATTAAAATTAATCTCACCTATTTTTCTTCTCTTTTTTCTTTTTTTTTTTTTTTTAACGAGATTTTAAATTACACATGTGGCTCCTATTCTATTTTTAGGGGACACGGTGATTCTAGAACTCTGAAGCTCTGTAAATACAGGAGCGCTGTTAAATGGGCTGGGAAGTTGAGCACAAATGACTGTCATCAACTGTAGATTTTCCCAAGCTTCTTGCCTTTCGTTTATCGAGTAATTGTTTTGAAAATGCATGAGTCGGTTTGGTTGTCATCAGCAAATTGAATCACTACCTGAAAGGGACCTTTTTTTTACCCTCACACTTTTTTTATTTTTTAATTCTGCCATTGGGTAAATTACTTAAAGAAAACTCTTTTAGCTACATCAAAAAGAGAAATGACCGGGGCAGCTGGGTGGCTCAGTCGGTTAAGCGTCTGCCTTCAGCTCAGGTCATGATCTCAGGGTCCTGGGATGGCCCCCTGCTCAGCGGGGAGTCTGCTTCTCTCTCTCCCTCTGCCCCTCCCCCTGCTCCTGCTTTCTCTCTCTCTCTCTCAAATAAATAAAATCTTAGAAAAGAGAGAGAGAGAGAAAAATGACCTCACAGGCCTGAATGGATCAGAATCAGCCCATACTCTTTTATTCTTTCTCATATAAAATGACAACAAAAAACCAAAACTTATTTATCCGAGGGCTGATTCGACACGACTGCTCCCAAGTGTCCTTTCACCAGAAGCTGGCGAGGCCGTGCCATGGGCCAGATGGGGGGCTCGGTTACCCTGATGCCCTCGCCCCCTGCCCTTCATCCCTCACGCCGGACACAGCAGTTGGCTGCAAGCTGTGTTCTCTGCAGCCACACTCAGTGTGAGAAAATGCTGCTGGTCGTGTTTATTCAGCATGTACAACCCGGTATCAGAATGTCTGCGCTGTGTTTGTTTGCTCTTCGTTTTTCTTGGTCTTAGGCCAAAACAGACTGTCAACACAAAACCTATCTGAAGACTGGGGTGTACGTTGGGGGTGCGGAAGGTGCCCGGGAGAGGAACATCTGTGCGCGTTTACTTTCAGCTACAAAGAAGCGGACGCTTCTTGCCAGCTATCGACTCCAGGGACACATCTCGGGCTCTCCTGCTAAGCCCACAGAATGCTGACCTCCAAGCTCAGGGACGAAGTGCTTCGGACTGGTTTTTGCAGGGACAGAGGAATAGTCACAATCCATGGCTAACCCTTTGGGGGCAAGTAGATAGCGGTGGATGAGGAAGGAAAAGCAGATACCGCTAAATCTCTCCCTCGTGAAATTTTACATTGCCCAGCAAAATAGATACGTTGACGTTGGCTTTGACTTTTGCCAAAAAATCCATTGGCGAGAAGCCCAGGGCCCAGAGCGCAGGGACCCCTCTGCATTGTATCAGAAGAGGAGGCAGCTGCAGGAGCCCAAGTGGGTCAGCAGCCTTGGGAACAACAGCCCAGCCAAGGACCCTGGACAGACCCTCCCTCCCAGGCTGGAGGCTCCCATCATGTGTCCGCTCTGTCCCCTTGGGTAGGCAGGGCCCCAACAAACCAGGCCCACATCGGAGGATGTGGTCAGAGAGCCATGTGAGGTGCAAGGCGGGTAGAGATGGAACGGGACTGAGTGACAGCATCGGGGATTCTGTGCAGTGTCACCGAGGCAGGCAGAGGAAAGGGGGTGCAAGAGAGCAGAAGCAGGAGGGATTGGACTCAGTGTAGGGTCCCCAGACTTCCGCAAGAAGGCTTGGACTGTGGAAAGGTGGGGAACAGCTGAGGACCCCCAGGCCCTTGGGGTTTGGCTACCGATGACTTTTTAGGGGGGCAGCTCAGGCTGGGGCCTGGCCCTGAGGAAGATGGTGAAGTCCTTGTCTCTGCCACCCTCTATGGTTGTCAGGCTGACAGCTACTCACTGGGTTTGGTAAGCACTGATAACAAAATAAAATTGTAAACATAATGTGCTATGCAAATCGTGCATCGTATCACAAAAATGTGAACGACTTTGTAAAAAAAGAATTCGCATTCATTGTCAGAAGGGCCCAAAGGATTATTTTAAATTTGGCCATTTAAAATATTGCCTATCGGGGGGCCTGGGTGGCTCAGTCCATTAAGCGACCAAGTCTCGATTTCGGCTCAGGTCATGATCTCAGTGTCGTGGAATCGAGCCCCACGTCGGGCTCTGCACTCAGTGTGGAGTCGGCTTGGGATTCTCTCTCTCTCCCTCTGCCCCTCCCCCTGCTGTCTCTCTCTCTAATAAATAAAATCTTTAAAAATATATAAAAGATTGCCTATCCTTCAAGCTGTTTTGTACCAAAATGAGCATACTTCTAGACAAAAAGGATAAAATACTCACTGTAGTTCATTCATTTCAACAAATCCCAGTGGTTGGTGGTGGTTGTCTAAATTTCTACCACCCTTGTCCATGGGTGCGTGCTGTTTCTAGATCATCATGTTCCTCCTGTACATATGTCTTGATTTCTTCACATAACATGCTGCCGTAAGTATTGATCTTCTTCTCCACATAGACTCCAAAATCGACTGATTTTAGCGCCCTTTGAAATCAACGTGCAGTGTTGCTGGATATTTTTTAATTCCTCTCATAAATTCGACAAACACTGTTGTGTTTTTGTTTCGCTTGCTATAGGATCATTTCCTTAAGACAAATTACCAAAGGAGACTCGTGAACCAAGGTTCTTACAAAGTTAAAGCAATGTTTTTGTTTCTCAATATGCATTTCCATTCCTCTCCGGTAGCAACAAGTGTGAGGGTCTCAGCTCACCGCATTTCATCAGCTTGCAATGACTTGTTTCTAGTTTAACATTTATAAAACAATAGCATTAGTGGGATTTTTACTTTAAACTGCTTTTTAACTCTCATTAATATCACTCTGTTCTCATAGAGTGATGTGGTTTAGCATGCTTTGAAGTAAAAGCAAGTACTTTGAAGCAGAAGTGCATGCAGAATTTTGTTTAGCTGGGCTTTAAGCATCCCAAATGAAGAGCAAACATTATAAAAGTACCATTTTCAGTTTCGAATACGATTTTATATAGCACTATGCATCTTTTTTCTCTGCCACATATTTTGTTAACTATGTAAATTAAATGTATTTAAACCATCACGGTCCATGAAAGAGAAAAGCACAACTTTAAGAAAATGCATCCAAGCAACAGTAGTAGGAAAGGGAGGCTTTGCTCTGTTTGGTCCTCATTAATTGGCCCACAGGCACACACAACCAGCCCCTTTTGTCCGGCTTGTCAGAGGACATTAGCTGAGACTAATCTGGAAGCCGCTTCCTGGCTCCCAAAAAGACACAGCCACCAAGTAAGAAAGACTCATTTATCAGAACACAAACTCTGCTATGTAAGTGAGGATTGTGGAAAGCATATTTCATGCATCATTATCTGGGCCTGAGTAGCAAGGATGGAAATTGGTCCTCAATTTTAACAATCAGTGGAAAAGACCTTCAGCTTCCACTGAAGCTAGACAATTGCCCTCGACATGTCTCTGTTCTCTACGCAGCGAGAACAGAGACAAGAGCCCTTGCAAAGGCTGCATTGAAATCGTTTTGGCATTAGACGTCCTGTGGACGCTATTGTCCGAGTGACGCAAATAAGGCGAGTTCTGGCTCCCCTCAGCAGGCGGGTTGACATCAGGTGGCGGGGGCCACAGTGTGCCACGGGACACCAGACGTGGCCGGCTCTCCCCCAGGGTTTGGAGCCCATGTGACCTTGGGCGGATCCATTAGTCTCTCGGCACCTGGTTTCCTATCTGTAAACAACGAGAATACTGCCTGCCTTAAAATTGCTTGTAAGGGTTATAACAAGATAATTTGTGCAGAAGCCCTGTGTCTGGAGACTGGCTGTGCAGGCCGCACCTGGAGCAGGACAGGGGCAGCCGTCTCTGGGAGGGGCTTCGTCCAGTCTCGGGGGGACGGTTATCACGGTCCCTGTGGTTGTAGTTGTTGCTGCCGGTCACACGTGCATGTGCATGCATGCACGCGCACACGCATGCACACACGCGCACATGCACGCACACGCATGCACACACGCGCGCATGCACGCACACACACACATGCACGCACATGCATGCACACCCGGACTATGTCCCTGCAACCCCGAGGGCAGCAGGACCCCGTGAGGACAGAACTGCATGAACTCGGCTGTGCGTTGTGCCTTCCTCGGGTACTTCCAGAAGAGAGTAGAGAAATAAAGAATAAGAGAAATGAATGCCCTTCCTTTCTCTCTGGTCTTCCCTAGACCTAAAGCCGCTATAACCTCCAGTGGTGATGAAGACCTGTTTCTCACCGGGCAGTTCCAGAAAACCCTTGAGGAACTGGATGAGGAGCTGGAAGGTGAGCGCAACCCTCCGTCCTGCTACAGTATTAATGTTGTGTGGCGGTAGACTCCGGTGGTGGTCTTTTTCTGGCCATGCTTGGCATGGCTCCCTGAAGGAAAGTTCGGTGGGAGAAACCCAGTTCCGTCTGAAGAAAGCCTGGGTGTGAGGGGCGGGCCGGTGAGCACAGCTTGGGAAACGCTGGGTGACAGAGGCGAACAGGTTCCCTAAGACTTCCACCCCTTTGCTTGCTGATGTTTGGCGTATCTCAAAGGGAAATTCAGTACGCACCGCCTCAGCCGTGAACCCGTTTATGGTGGAGCGCTTGCTGTTGTACGGATAGGTTTTGGGGAGATGATACTCTAAGGCCAAAGCAGATGCAGATGATCTCAGTAGACAACCAAGGAATCTCTCAAACAAAGGCACACGCTGATAGTAATCTAGAAAGTAGGTGTTGGCCATGCCTTCAAACAGAAACCAGAAGGAAACAGACTGCAGAACTGATCCACAGTCTACTCGCCTGTCGGCCTTCAGTCCTCAGATGTACTGGACAGAGTTGAAAAGGCTGAATCGGTCATCCTGTGTCCCTCTGGCTATGACCATGTGAGCGGCTGCATCCCTTAGGGCTAATTCTGAGGTGCCCAGTTAGTCATCTCCCTCTTAAGAAGTTAAGGCGTGAGCACATCACCCCATGTGGTTTGTGGTGCTTCCGAAGAACACAAGTAAGCTGAAGGTCAAAACCCAAAACTCACCTCCGTGTTCCGCGCTGAGACAGCGTTTCCAGGGGGCAAAATGTGGTACCTGAATGCCTTACCTTGAGATATCGCGGCTGTGCAGAGCTTCTCCATCGAGCCATCAGAGTTGAGACTTGGGTCCCAGGCATGTGCAGGTGATGAATTGGAATGGCACTTTAAAATGTATGTAAATAACTTACCCAAAAATAACCTCAGGAAAATCAAAGCCAGGGTGTGATTACACTAAGTAATTGGCTTGGGAATCATGCCAGCGATGCCAATCTGTGACTTGTGTTCATCCTTCTTTGCAGAACTGGAAGAGAGCCCTGAAGACTGCAGCCTGCCAACCGGCTCTGTGAATGGCGTGTCCCCTCACTGCACGCCAGGAGCCACCATCCCCGAGTGTGATGAGGACACAATCCCAGTCACCTTCATCGGAGAGGTTTCAGATGACCCTGTGGATTCGGGGTTGTCTTCCAATCAAAACAACAATGCTGGTCTAGGGGGCATCGTGGGCAGGGAAGCCCCCCCAGCGCCACGTCAGGAGGAGAACAGCCAGCAGCGTGGAAGGAGGGCAGAAGTGCCCAACGCACCCGCTCCTCCCCACGACATCGGGGAAGAACGCAAACCCGCCTCGTCCAACCCCTGTGAGGCTGTGAATCTGAATAAGATGGAGCCCAAGGTGACTGCGGCAGCGTTTCCCCCGCACGGCCCAGATGCAGAGCTGAGTGGCGAGGAGCCTGCCTCTGCTCTCGGTGGGAAGACGCAGGCCAGCAAGACGGCGAGGTCACAGCCAGTGAGGGACAAGGAAGGTGAGGGTGTGAGTAGTGGCTCAGCACCACCATCCTGGTATCAACGGGGCCAAAGCCCAGGGGGGAGTTATGGACTTAAATATGGCCTCACGACGTATAAGATTGTCCCTCCGAAGTCAGAGATGAGGTGTTATGACAGAGGAGTGTCGCTCTCAACAGGTGCCATTAAGATTGATGAGCTAGGGAATCTGGTGAGTCCCCATGCCGACAGGGGCAAGACCATAGCCCTGTCGCCGTCCGCCCTCGACTTGGAAACCCAGCCCATTGGAAAAGTCAAAGAATTCTGGAGGTCCAACTCCCTACAGAAACACTTTGGCCAGCCCACAGAGGGCTTCACCAAGAGGACCCCCACTCCCGCCACACCAGGGAAGCCACAGTCTCAAGAAAACAGACTCCGAACAGAGCCCACCTTCCCAGACCCCAAAGTGACGTCACCCCCACAGCAGTCTGCCCGCCAAGAAGGGGGGGGACATCTGGAGGAGGGCAGAAGCCGGCCACCCACGGCTGCCCCTTGTCACATCAAAGTGCCAGCAGGGAACGCCACGGAAGTCCCATTTCTCAAGCCTCAGAGAAGAACGTCCAGTCAGTATGTGGCCTCTGCCATTGCCAAGCGGATAGGGCCCCAGAAAGCCCACACCGGCCTGGTGAGGAAGCACGGCCATGCCGAGGAGACCCGGGAAGGCGGAGCGCCAGAGCTGGCTGGACAGCCTCCCGCTAGGACAGACGGCACAGCCCCCAGCCCGTACTCAGACACACGCTCCCGTACCTATGGGGGAGCCTCGGCGGTGGGAGCCCAGCCCAGAGCGCAGGTCAGCAGCCCTCCTGGAAAGCTGTCTGCTCCAGACTATCCTGCTGGCGTCCACAGAAGTCCCTATGTGCCGCCCGTCCCAGCTTCCCAGAGGGATCACGTTTCTGTGACGCAGAGCTGGAGCCTCAGTGGAAGGCAAAGCACCAGCAACCCCAGGACCGGCTCAGCATCTGCCCCCACATGCACGCTGGATGGTACAAACCCCCTGCCTGCCCGCTCGGGAGATGATCAGACTCCTGGCAGGACCCTGGTGGACGGCTCCAGGTGGGGCCCCATCCACGCCGAGCCCCCTCAGTCTCCGAGAGGGTCCGGCATGAATAACCATGCCGGACAGGAGCCCCTACAACAGGAGGAAAAGCCCAGTTTGTCGTGCGCAGAGGTACACGAGACCGACGGTACGCCGTCCCCCAGCATCTTTGGGCCAAAGAAGAAATTCCGACCCGTGGTCCAGAGGCCAGCAACAAAAGACACATCGCTGCACAGTGCTCTCATGGAAGCCATCCACTCGGCGGGAGGGAAGGACGGGCTTCGCAAGGTGAGCGGCCGGGTACCTGTCTTTAGGGCGCAGGCTCCCCTTCCACACCCACGCGGGGGAGGGGCAGGGCCGGCGGAACACTGAGCGGGATGCTCGGGGTTAATTTCCACCAGGAGTTTCTTCGTCTCACTGCCTTAGGGGATTTAGAACCACGAAAGAGACAAAAACGGGTTTGGGGTTGTCCCCACTGCCTTTAAGGCCCTGACTCTCCTGGGGAAAGATGTCGACAATCAAGTGTCCACATCTGGGCCCAAGGGAGCGGAGAGGTAGGGGTGGATCATCCCTGACCGGTTCGTGAACGAAGGTGTGAGTCAGGGAAGACTCAGGCCAGGACCACTCCTGCCTGACGTTCCTGCATCTCCGGCAGCTCATACTGTCATTGTTGAGTAGCAATAGGGACAGTTTAGGAACTGCCTCCCTAGCCAGGCACTCAGCACCAACGCTCGGCATTGGGAGCCATCTGCTTCATTTTATAGATGAGGAACTGAGGCAGAGCACTGTCAGGAGAGCAGAAAGCCAGCAGCCATAACCGGGAGCCCGCACACCTGCCCTTTGCTTGTTAGAGGCTCTCAGGTCAATCTGCAATCTTAAGTCGCTACGGTTCCATGCAAAAACATTCTTCCTTCTAACACGGGGCTGTATAATCCATCCTAGAGCCCTCAACTGACAGGTAGTGCTTTTGCTCTGAGGCTGTCCTACTTAGCACTTCTCCTTCCGGGTGACGTGTGTCGACACTGTGAATATTCTAGATTGCAGCAGACACCTCCGAGGGAGGGCCCAGGAAGCCGTCCTACACGGAGACCGCGGGCGAGCGCTCTGCACTGCTGTCCGCCATCCGAGGGCACAGCGGTGCCTGCAGCCTGCGGAAGGTAAGAGAAGGGCCTTCCGTGGCAGGATGGGCGCGCACAGCCACTCCCCGGAGCGCCCCACGTGGGTGCCACAGAAGCCGGGGCAGCCCTCCCGTGTCCTAAGCATCTGCTAGGCCACCCTCAGGGTGGGCAACCCAGGACCGCTGAGGCTGGCGCAGAGGGGCAGCCCTTGCGTGGGAGAGGCCAGGCATCCGGGAGCGGTCCTCCTCCCTTCCTACCTGCCCACCTGGCACGGAGCGTTTCCTGAGTTCTCGGGCACCCAGTGTGGCTGCAGGGCTGTCTCTCCTGGGGGGCAAAGTTGCTGGTCCTCTGGCACTGATCTGGCATGGCCTCGGGAGCCCAGGAGGGCCGGAGCTGAGGGGCAGGACCGCGTCCTCCAGCTTCCAGTCGCAGAATCCGAGGAATCGCGTGATGGGTATTTTACTCCCCGACAACTGGTCAGAGTGGTGTGGATGGCCTCCGGGTCTGTCCTCACCTGCCAAGGCGAGGCAGGAGGTCAGGGAGTTCTCAGAAGGCACCCCGCGCCCCGCCATCCGTCGCCGGTTGGGGAACTCAGGCAGCGAGCTCGCACACCTCCCGGGCTTGCTGCGGGCTAAGTGAGGCCGTGGGCGGGTGGCCCCTCCAGAAGGCCCTCAGGGACCTTGTCATTGAACCATGTCATCTCCAGGTGTCATCCTTCGCCTCCGAGGAGCTGCGGAGCTTCCGGGACGCCGAGCAGTCATCAGAGCCGCCAGGACTCCGTGACCTTGGCCTTCAGCCCCTGCCCGCCCCGCCCCCACCGCCTCCGGCCACCCAGGCTCCCTCCACATCCAGGATGGCGGCCAGGTCCAGCTCAGGCAACCCCGCCCAAGCCAGGCAGGCCCTGATGGACGCCATCCGTTCCGGCACGGGGGCCGCGAGATTGAGAAAGGTGACAGTACGTGACCATGTGAGCGTTCATGTGGGGCCAGCAGGGGGTCAGCAAGGAGCCACACGGCAGGGAGACAGCCGCGGGGAGGGGTGGCTGACAGCCCGCGTCCCTTACCCCAGGGACCAGAGGAGATGGCCCTCAGCGGGTGGGGGGTCGGCCCACAGACTAGCTCCTGGGGATGCAGGGGGTCCCCCCACACGGGTAACCCCTAACTGCATCTCAGCCACCCACTCTGACTGTGGTGCACGGGGCATCTAAGCCGCGTCCTGTAGAGAGCCCATGTCACCCTCGTGGCCCTCAGCCTGGGTTGAGGCTCTCAGCACAATTTCTGTTTGTTTGTTTGTTTTGGCTAGCATTATGTTTGAAGTGATTGAATCTGAAGCCCGTTGGGCAGAGCGCACGCGCCCTGGTTCTGCGGCTCCTACTTGCATGTGGTCTTACGCTGGTCCGCACATTTGTCACCCTCACGTTCCCCAAAGCAGTGGGGTTTGCGCCACGACCACGGTGGGACTCCCAGACTCAAGGACTCTCGGGCCACGTGGGTTCTGGGATCCGTTTCTCCGCCCGTGGATTGATTCTCTGCCCCTGCCCATTTCTGGTGGGTTTGGGGAGTTCTGCTAATGACAGGGAGGCTGGTGACAGGTATTATTTCCCAGGAGACGATCTCCAGATGCTAAGCTCCTGTTTTGACATGGACCTCAAGAGGTCAGTACTCAGATGATCCTCAGTGCATATGGGAAGTGAATGAGGCTCAGACAACCCGAGTGGTTTGGCCTTGGTCCCACAGGACCGGGTGCAGACAGGGCTCAGTTAGGGCACAGAAGGTGCTCGGAAGCAGGTATCCGCTGTGGGAGAGCAGGTGGCCCTCGAGACAGGGCAGAGCTGCTGGTGCTGCTGAGAAGGCAGATGGCTCTCCGGCTGTCCCCCACCCCCCGGGAGCCTGTGGAAGCAGAGGAGCAGGGAGAAGACCCCCTCCCTGCAGACAGCAAGCCCAGGACATGATGGGCAGTCCTCACTCAGGCCCAGAGATGCCCAGCGGTGTTACCCAGTGCACTCACAGCCTGACCCCCCACCGCCTGGCGGCTCCCCTGCTCGCAGGTCACCCCCAGGGCTTGTCCCTGTGTGACAGGGAGGCATTCCCGGCTGTGTGCATGCGTGTGGCCCCCGGGAGGGACCCCAGACATCGGCTGTCAGGCCCAATGGCCCCACTGATCCTGGGGTACGAGTTTGAGGTTCTCAGAGTGAAATCCACCTGACATCTCCGCCCTGATTCAGATTTGGGGGCGGGGTGGGAGGTGAGCCGCGGAGCTGCGATTTTCAAGTGTTTGCCAAATGACTTCACCTTCAGATCGGAACTAATTAGCTATGTCAGCCGCGCCTCTACTCTATTTCAGGTAATGCTGAACATACTTGTTTTATGACCACAGACCATACCTGTTTCTTACATATGCCAGTGCATTGACGGATTTCTGGATCTTTCCAGAAGAGCTGTTACCCTGTCCAAGGAGCCTGGGCCCCGAGAGGTGAAAAGCTTGCCTGAGGTTGCACAGCTAGGAGGTGGCAGACCACAGCAAGCCTGACCCTCACGCTCGTGCCTTCTGGAAAGAAAGAAAAAGAACAAGTTTGAGAGTTGTGTGGAGGGGCAAGAAGTTGTGCCGCGAGAAAGGAGGTGGGGATGGGGACAGTGAGGAGAGGAGGACCAGGACCAGAAGGGGCCAGGTGGGCGTTGGGGTGGCACAGCTGGGACCGCGAGCATCTGGACCGAAGCTCAGGAGCAGGGTTGCTGCAGGTTCCGGCCAGGGGTCGAGGCCAGGCTGTTCTCGCTCACGATCCCTGCTTTCTTTCTGCTGCTTCGAATGGCATTCAGAAGCCTTCATGTTGATTGTTTCTTGGATGAGTAGAAGTGTTGTGACCGCCTTATCCATCCTGGGAAGGTCTGTGCAATACGTGCTTATATGGCACGGCTGAGACTTTGATGGCCTGAACAGTTTACAAGACGCCCTTGGGCGAAAGTGACCAGGACGAGTGTGACACGGGGGACCATGTCCCTTTGCTCTCTATCACCGCTCTACCCAACTGCGCTGCCGTGTGCGTGGATGACCTCAGGGCTGAACGTACAGGACTAGGTCACTGCTCCACTCAGTGACCCCGGGACCCCTTCACCCCCTTGTACTCTGCCTCTCAGAATCACATAAGACTGGCTGATGGAGATGGGACCTTGAAGGACAGGCAGGCACTGGATGGTCCACGTGCCCGCCTATGTATTTTTCTCACAAGCCAGGTTAGATGGCGCTTCTCTGCTCAGCAGGGACCATGAGGATCTCCGTTGGCTTTGCCACAAATGTGCTCTGGGGTATATGTTATGGCAGGTGAATCTCAGATCATTTGTGCTTTGCTTCTTATTGCTTCTTCTGCTTCCTTTTACCTTCTGGGCTGTTAGAGTCATAGAACCTTGAGGAAGATGTGATAACTGCAGGGCTCTGGGGTCCACACAGAGTGGGCTGAGCTCCCTGGGCATGCAGCATGTGCAGATTCTCCTTCACCAGCTCCTGGGTGTTCAGTGAGGGCTCCAGGTCGGGTGTGGCTGGGAGGACTTCGTGGACCCGAGGGATGTTACTGGCCTTCCCAGGGTTGGTGTGAGGGGCTCCCATGCATAAGTCTACTGGCTCCCCTCCTCCAGTTGTCAGTCCAACCTCCTCCTAACTGGGGTGCTCAGGCATTCTGGGAGGATTCTCAGAGAGGCAGGACGTTTGGGGCTAAAACTCAGATGATCGCCTCCCCACCACCTGTAGCATACAAGATTTGCTTTGGCAGGGATGCTACTTATGGTAAAATACCAAAGGGTCGGTTTGACACATAAGGAACAATCACCGTAAAAATGAGTGGCATTGGGGTGTGGACCTGGCTCAGTCAGTTCAGCGTCTGACTCTTGATCTCTGCTCAGGTCTTGATCGCAGGGTCCTGAGTTCAAGCCCTGTGCAGGTCTCCATGCTGGGCATGGAGTCTATTAAAAAAAAAAAAAATGCCTGGCATTTTTCAAGGCAATTAAAAGTACATTTGCCTTCACAGTGTGATGGCAAATTATCGTAATGAGATAATTTCTCTGCCTCTGTGTTTGTGGTGGTCAGAGAAATTTCCAGCTCCAGATCAGAGCATTTGCAGTCCCACTCTGTCTGCGGGTCCTTCTTCAGGAGTGCACCTGCTCTGCCTGAGTGCAGGGCTCAGATGGACGGCCCAGCACCCACTTCCTTCCCCAACTCCATCCCACACTCATAGTAATGGGGAGCCTGTCTGCATCTGACAGCCCTCACTGGTCTGTTTTAAATGCATTCTTTCGGGAGCCTGGAATGAACTCCAAGCACCCTCTGCATCTGTGCTTATATTTAAAACACTCACAAATCCAACCATCCACTCTGCAAGCATTTCCTGAGAAACCCCCAGGGTCCAGGGCCCATGGTCCTGCTCATGACAGAAGAGTGAACGAGGCAGTGTCTGCACCCTTGTGGGCTCTCAGCCGGAAAGAGGGTGTGGAGTCGGTTGTTGACCGTGGGATCTTCTCGCCAGGTTAGGGACGTGATGAAGGCCTCAGAGACACTTCCTTGTGTGCCCTGGCTCTCCTCCAGGCCCAGACAGTCCTAGCCCTGTCACCTTCCTGGGTGTGAAGGCTGTGGCTTCCATCCCACAGACAGGCTAGTGGGGCGCAGATGTCGTGACTTACCCTGGGCCTGAACTGGGTGGGTGCTGCTGAGCCCGGCTCCGTGTGGGCACATTCTTCCAGTGCAGGAATGGACTGATGCCGACCACGTGCATGTCATGACGCTTGGCCTTGACCGTGGACCCCATGAGACATGATCAGACAGGTGACGCTGTCACCGTAAATGCCCAGGAGGCCCCCACGCCAGAACAGAAACCAACAGTGGCAGCATACCTCTTTCCTCCAGGCCAAAAGGTGTCTTCCCTGGAGGGTCAGAGAAGCCACGTTCCCATGGCCGGGAACAGTGACTTGTGTCAGAACAGGAAACCCAGCGTGAGCCAGAACTCCATCACACGCCAGGTTTGGGCTGCTCGTTCTGTGAACCTGAACAAGGTTTTGGTTAGAGTGGACTATTTCAGAGGTGCAGACGGGTCAGTCCCGGCTGCGCTGACCCTTGGCGTGTGATCCTTCTGCCCCGTTCGGATCTACCAGGTGACCGTTTCTTTCTGCAGGGGGCACACAGCGAAGCCTGTCCTGAGAAGCCACCAGAGCAGTGACCCTCAGGGCCCTCACAAACCCTGCCCCCTGTTTTACCAGCTACCCCCACTCATCCCACACGTGCATGCGTGAAGCACGAACCCTCGGAAAGTCCCCCTCAGTTCACGGGCTGGACTGGCTTCCCCTCTCACAGCTCCTGCCAGCTCCCTTAGTATCAAATCACAGCTCTAACTTCTGGAATAATCAGTGCCACATGCTTGGTGCTTGCCCCTCCTACCTGACTATACCCCAGTGCTGTGCCCTGTTCCTGGCACGATAGTGGGCACTCAGTACCAGTTACTCAGATGAGGGACAGAGAAAACAAACGCACCCTTTGCCTACCATGTTTGCCGGCTCCCACCTAGGAACCCAGTGCATCCCTCATCCGTGAGCCCATCACTCGTCTACTCCATCATCACTAGAACATCTTGCCAAGAATCCACTTCAAGCTGGGAAAAAACCACCATCTTTTCCTTTGGGAATTTAGAGGAGTTCTGTGCATCCCGAGTCTCCCCTCACTGGTCCCTTTCCCAGTCCGCAGAGTTGGCCAACAGCTCATCAACTCCCCAGAGCTAATCTGTCCCCTCGGAGACGGGAGCTCACCAGCAAGTTCTGCAGCTCTGATGATTCCTTTCCTCCCCCTGGACACCATTTGCCTGTCACCACTGTCCCTTTCATCTCTTTCCATAGAGACATCATTCTCCTTGGCAGGCGAGGAAACAAAATGAAACTTGGATATTTTTACAGCTTTCTGGGTTGGCCTCAAACTCTAAGCTTTGTCCTTTCG